AAAAATAACCTTAAACGTGGTGCGCATGGAGATTGTTGGGAAGAAGTGAAATACAAATGAAATAGATCCGCACCATGTTTAAGGTTATTTTTTGCTTTTTGAAAACTTGGTTTTTTTAGATTAATTTTTTAATCCACTAAATTTTTTTGTGCTTTTTAGTCTTACTTGAAAAACGTGGTTTTTTAGATTAACTTTTTTAATCTACTATAATTTTAAAGTTTTGTCTATTTTAATCTGAGAATATCAGAGGACTCTTACATCCCATGCTGGGACAATGAATCTCACATATTCTGGGATGCAATACATGATACAGCAGTACACTAAAATCTTATTGTTACAACAAACTTGTGGGGGCTTCAGAAAAGGGTGTACAGTACTGTGGTTCAAAAGCCCGGCTTGGTGCAAAAATTGGGGATTACGGCAGGTATTCTTGTCTGCTGGGACTTTGAAAAAGTTTGTTATGATGGAAAATTTCTTGTAATGGTATTTGTTTTGAAAATATTTTACCGCATAGACTTAGCTTAAAAAGAAGATTTGAAATTGAATTGCAGGCGGCGTCATCCAAAAAGTGAATGCAACTGTCAGTGGGATACAGTGCCCAGCTTCTCAAAGTTCGTACGGGGGCACGTTGGACTCCACCGTTGCTGCTTGCGTCAATATCAGCGGAGCAATTCCTGGTTCCTGTGCAGTGGTATTTATATACATTATTGCGGCTAATTTTTTTAAAATTATTTTACAGCACTCTGTATATATAGTCTCAATACGAATATACGCGACTTGCGCTGAGATTTCTAGTTTGGCTGGAAAATCACTACAGTAAAATCTCGTTACACCGAACTCTCACGGAAGGGACGACCTGTTCAAAAATTCGTTGTATTATTGAGATTCAGGGGGTTTCAGGAATTTTCGGCTGGGATTTTGTGAAAAAAGGGCCAATAAATACTGTGCTGTGAATAAGTGCTTCCAAAACAAGTAATTCAAGACCTATATTATATACTGTATCATGAATAATAATCATTTCTGATGAAATGAAGCAAAAACTTTGGGAATAAGTAGCATTGCATACTTTCCTCAATCATTGAACCTTTTCCTTTCTATTACTCAAGTGTCAGTATAGTCTTTGAAAAGTAATATTTAATTAATGATTAAATGTGGCAGGAATACTGCACTTCTGTCTGAATGAGTGTATTCATGCCCATTTGTTCTTCAAATTATAAGGAACACTTTTTCTAACATGCTGCTGAATTTGAAAGGAAGGCATACATTCTAGAATGGAGCTAAGGAATTTCCAAGAAATGTGTCATGTTGTGTGTGTTTTTTTTTGAACACCACTTTTCTCAACAGAAATGGTTTCTTCAGTGAGGAAGTTGTAATGGTGCATCTCTTCATTTTTTCTCTTCTTCTCATTTTGCTGATGTGTATCATGTAATCTCTATATATATGGCCCATGCACAGAATCAGGGACAAAATTTGTTATAATAAGATTATAGCCTGAAACAATTTAGTTAGATTTTTGTAACATTGTGCTCAAGGCAAACTGCCACTTGGGACCAGGAAAAAAATGTGTTATAACAAGACTCATCATTGTAATGAAATTCTACTCAAGCAAAATGTTTCTCTGTAGATTTCCCAGGGAAGTTCAGTTGTGGTCCTTGGAGCAGACAATAATCAATACTTGGTTGCAATGTTAAGATTCTACACAAGAGGCTGTAGTGGAACACTTGTTGGGGTCTCACTGGCATTTCCAAGTCACAAGGAGTTCATCTGCAGCTTCACAGGCATCATTTGTGGCAATGCTGCACCAGAACCAACAACAACATCCACTACAACCCTTCTGATGAATACAACAAGTCAAAATTCAACCATCACTCAATCAAATCCATCAACAACTAGTCTGAATCCTGGCACAACTTCAGGAAACATGACAACTTTGAATCCAGTCCTGAGTACCATCTCAAGCATCAAAACCAATAATACCACCATCATCATCAGCAGCAGCAGCACCCCCACAAAACAATCAAAAACCACTACTCAAGTGGCAGATGGAAATCATCAGCATCAGGATCCTCCAAAGCTGTCTAAATTTTGGTCCATTCTCCAATTCTTGACTGCAGGACTATAGGGAAATAGTTCCACAAGCCCCACCTTAAATTCCCTGGAAGCATAAGCAGAGACCCCCCTCCAAAAAAAATTATTCCTGCAAGGACTTTTCAAGAGAGGTTTAAGCAGTAAACTCCATCTAGCAGTTGTCTTGAGAACCTCATTTTGAAGTTGGTTATGTACTGCATGGCAATCATTATGATGGGAGTTTTTTCATCTTCAATCTTGTAATTGAGAGTGATGTTGATTGAAGTCATATTATGTGTGCTGTGTGGAATTATATATGCTACTTCATCCAAACTGCATGCTTGACATGTGCTGTGACTGATGGAAATGCAAAAAAAAAAAAAAAACTTGGCAGTCAGAAAAAAATGTCTCAACTCTTTCTTCCAAATATGCACTCAGCGCTTCAAAATAAAAATAATCTACAACAAATGGGAACATTGCCATGGGAGGCAATTTTATTTTTCCACATTTCCACAAGTAATGAGCAAGAAAACATGCAGTGCAGCATTTGTGAAATATTTATATACACCACCAGGAGTTTGCACTTCATTTCACTATTGGTGAAATACGCTGTACACCATGTTTATATATATATACATCAGCTTGAGCTTTGCTTAGTCTAAAAACATTCCTACAGGCTGGGGTCCCCCCCCCCCCAAGTTTCTGGGCAAAATAAATTCCTATGTGAGGGACCATACATTTGAAGAGTGACATCTAGCTGGACCAATTTTTGGATCCACTGTAGCTGTTATGTTCAAAACATTTTGACAAGGCAAGGCAAGGCGTCAAGTACATCCCAATAAGTGGGGAAATTGGTGCACACTGGGGATTTGTTTGTAATTCTACACAGTGACCCTGCTGTGCACCTGAAGTGTACCAAAGTTCTTCTGTTGCACATGCATATCCCCAATGCGCACCAATTGTGTGTTCACACCAGGATTACTCAGGGTCACATTTGGAAACAAATAAGTTACACCAAGGTGTCAGTTGGTGCATTTGTGTGATGCTCCTGTTATTTCACATTTGTGCACCAAGTGTAACCCTGGAATGGTAGCAAAATTTCCTCTACAGGAGTGCACACTTATTGTAACCCCAGAATATCCCATATGCACCAGTTGTGACCCTGGTGTGCACCTACTGTGGGGTCACAGCAAAAATAGCTCCGCACTTTGGCAGTACTGAAAAATCATACATGGGCTTCTCATCAGCACCAGCCAGGATATTAATTTTATGCTACAACATCAGAATATTGCTTGGGCTTGATGTGAATAATTTACAACCCGATTCAAAGGAACAATACAGCAATTCAAAATTTTCACAAGGAGAATATTTATCGTTGATAATCTATATCACTTCTGATTTCGTCTTAAAATTGGCCCAGCAGAACTGAAAGAAGCCCTTATTTCGAATGCAAATATTCATCTTGAGAGACAGGATCAGAAGATCCGCCAGTTGTTCCCTGTCGCCTTTGATTCCTCGTGATGGCGTACTTGTGCTCATGATCATCATCAGGGCGGTGATTTTGGTGGTGGTGGTGGTGATGATGATGATCTCTGTCACCATCGCCATCTGCGCAATTTTAAAAGCATGCAATAAAATATGTAAAAAAAAATACTCCAGGGAAACCAATATTGTACTTTGATCAAGGTACACCAGTAGCAAATAAATTATTTCACTTTGCAAAATTGTATATATATACACGGTGGACCACAAAAAAAAGTGAAATGATTTTTGACTATAAATAGCTTGGTAGCAAATTTAGCTGTGACAATGAAAAAAAATCACCAAATGAAAGCTTGTTCAATTCTCTTTCACGAGGTATGTATTTTATGGTCCCAAGTGCCACAGAATGGTCATAAGTTTTCATTTGAATGAGAACTTACAACAAAGGAAATTTTTCAAGCAAATTTTTCCACTAATAAGCTGCTGCTCTAAAGGAAATGCAGGATGCAATAATTTAATTTAACCAGCAAAGTTCATGCTGTCAGAGTGACCTCCTGAAAAAAAAATAATAATCAGCCTCATCATGCTGCCTTCCATCATCAGCACAAATCTCCACATTCTGTAATGATAATGAGTGGAATTATCATGGAAGCAATTTTGTCATTGATTGTAGCTTTTATCCATGCTACAAGAACTAGTCAGTTAGTCACATTTGAGATCAGAAATTTCAGACTGCATCAGCATTTTATTCAGGAAATGTCTACCTGAGGAATTCATTATTAAATATCCATCAAAGAAGTTTGTTGTACTGGTATGTATACTGCAAAGTTTGTCAAAATGAGATTGTTTCAACATGTACTCTATGAGCTTTCTGGCAGCAGGACTTCAGAAAGAGTTACAGTATTTGTTATACAGTACTGAATAATCCGCAGTTATATGGTACATTTATTGTACTTTATAAAGTTGACATAGGGACATTTATTTTTCAATAAAAAGGGCATTAAAAAGGCCCAACATGCAGACACTGACTCAGCATGAGGACATTGGATGATTAAATTGCCAATAAATTTCACAAAAATTGACTTTTACAAGCCTTGATTGCAAGAAACAGATATTTCCAACCCGAAGATTCATGCAAGAAAAATTCTTTGTCATTTCTCCCATCATTTACCCATCCATTCAGCTAATTTAAAAAAATTACATATTGCATGGTGGGACTTCCTTCTCTTTTTGTGACTTGAATGTTATTTTTGCAGATGCCAACGTTTCAACATACTATACAGAGGTACACTATTCAATTTTCCAAATGTTCTTATTGAATTGAAAATGAATTCACTGAATAAAATTCAAGGGGCATATAATTTTTTTCATGGATTTCTGAAGAATATTTCTTCCATAAAACACCAATTACAATTTATTTAATGTAACTCTATGGGAAAAAAAAGACTCAATTTAGGGACAATTCAACTTGTGGACACTCTTGATTCATCAATTATGTCCACATCTGGGGGTCTCACTGTATTATTTTTCTTGAGCATAGCACAGGGAGCCCCTGATATGTGAAGTAGGTGTGGAACCCTTTCCGGGGCTCCGCGGAGCACAAATAAAATATATACTGCTGTATATAAGAATATTTTTGAGCCTCACCAAAGGAATCCCCGCGTCCAGCAGCGAGTTTCTGCAAAAGCTGCGATTCCCGGATGAAAGTGGCATTGTTCGATGCCTTAGCGACATCTGCAATGGTGGTCAGTGTGGCATTCAATGCGGGAGTCAGAGAGATGTCGCCGTTTGTAAAGTTCAGCCTGTAGGTCAGGAGTTGGTTTGCCAAATCACCCTGGTTCCTGGTGTTCAAGCTGCTCCCAACACTGTCCACAAGATTGCCAGCATGAGCACTCATGTTCTTGCCATGGTGTTTATCTCCGAAACCACCCGACAGATGCGGGGGACGTCCTGTGGATAAAATTTGAAAAATCAGTACCTGAGTGGGGAAATTGGTGCACACTGGGGATTTGTTTGTAATTCTACACAGTGACCCGCCTGCTGGGCACCTGAAGTGTACCAAAGTTCTTCTGTTGCACATCATGCATATCCCCAATGTGCACCAATTG